AGACAACAGGAGAAAAGGAAAAAGGAAGAGTTTAAGGTAATGATATATTTCTTGTCCAATAATATGAATGCATTGAACCCACTGAAAATAACTAAAGTGATCAAAGAAGAGATTGGGAAAATCGAACATGCGAAAATGTTACGGAATGGAAAGTTGTTACTTTTTTGTAAAGATAGCAGACAACAAAAACAAGTACTAGGCTTAAAGACATTAGCAGGGAAAAAACTTTCGTGTACACTGTTGGAAGAGAAAAAATGGATGAAGGGAGTAAAAACCGGGGTCCCAACAGATGTATCAGAAGACACAATCAAGAGAAGTTTATCAGGAGCAAAAGTGGCAGGGGTCAAACATCTGAAATATGTTAGAGATAAAGAAAAGCTGGATAGCTTATCTGTAATGGTGCAGTGGTGTGACTGGAGCAGAGATGGAAGGAAGTGACGTAGGATCAGGAAGTGAGCTGGACATAGAGGATGAATGTAGTGGTGGGGAGAAAGGAGGTAAAAATGGAAACTGGAACATAGTAGAAAATCGGAAAAGCAAAAAAAAATGGAATCAACTTTCTGGTTTGGAAAGTGAAAGGGAAAGACAACAGGAGAAAAGGAAAAAGGAAGAGTTTAAGGTAATGATATATTTCTTGTCCGATAATATGAATGCATTGAACCCACTGAAAATAACTAAAGCGATCAAAGAAGAGATTGGGAAAATCGAACATGCGAAAATGTTACGGAATGGAAAGTTGTTACTTTTTTGTAAAGATAGCAGACAACAAAAACAAGTACTAGGCTTAAAGACATTAGCAGGGAAAAAACTTTCGTGTACACTGTTGGAAGAGAAAAAATGGATGAAGGGAGTAAAAACCGGGGTCCCAACAGATGTATCAGAAGACACAATCAAGAGAAGTTTATCAGGAGCAAAAGTGGCAGGGGTCAAACGTCTGAAATATGTTAGAGATAAAGAAAAGCTGGATAGCTTATCTGTAATGGTGCAGTTTGATGAGGAAAGATTACCAGAAAGAGTATTATTTGGGTTCATAAGCTATGCTGTTAGATAGTATGTTCCTCCTCCGCTTAGATGCTATAAATGTCAAAAGTATGGGCATGTGGCAGCTGTTTGTAAGGGAAAACAACGTTGTGCGAGGTGTAGTGGAGAACATGAATATGGAAAATGTGGACAGGGTGTAAAACCCAAATGTTGCAATTGTGGAGGTGATCACAGCGCTGGCTATGGTGGATGTCAAGTAAGAAAAGAAGCAATAAAAATTCAAAGTGTCAAGGTTTCGGAAGGGTTTACATATGCTGAAGCAATAAAAAGGGTTAAGATGGTTTGGGCCGAATCACAAAGTATATGGGTGATAAATTTTTATAACCCATGTGAAAGGTTAAGTAGAGAATCATTAGAGAGTATTGGGGGATTAGGAAATCATAAAATGATATGGTGTGGGGATTTTAATGCTCACAATACGCTATGGGGAAGTGTACAGAATGATCAAAATGGAAATGTAGTAGAAGGGATGTTGGAATGGAAAGATTTAATATGCTTAAATGATGGTAGGAATACAAGGGTAGATGTTGCACAGGGAAGAATTTCAGCAATTGATTCGACTCTAGCATCTCAAAGTTTGGCAAGGAAGTGTGTATGGAGTGTTATGGAAGAAAGTACAGTAGGTAGTGACCATTTCCCAATAAGCTGTAAAATTGGAATAGACTTGGAACAAGTTGAAAGGGAAGAAAATCCTAGATGGAAACTTAAATCTGCTGACTGGGAAAAATTCCAAGAAATAAGTGAGACTAGAATGTTGACAATAGATATATCGATAGAAGATGTTGATGAATTAAATAAATATATAAGTGATGTTATTTACAAAACAGCAACTGATGTAATTGGGAAAAGCACAGGGAAAAGGAGAAAGAAGGTCGTACCATGGTGGACAGAAGATTGCAATGAAATTATAAAGAAAAGGAACAGAGTATTTAAGAAAGTTAAAAAATCATATTCATTTAATGTTTTTACTGAGTATATGAGCACACAAGCAATTGTCATGAAAACAATTCGGATGGCAAAAAAGAATTATTGGAGGAAATTTTGTGATGAAATTGGAAAAGAGACAGACATTAATGAAATGTGGGGCATGATAAGAAAGATGGGAGGGATTCAACCTAACAGAGAAATTCCAGTTTTAATTAGTGAAGGAAAACAAGTCATATCTAACGCTGGAAAAGTAGAAGTATTGTCTGAAAATTTTGTTTAGGTTCATAGTAATAGAAATATATCAGAAGAAATTAGATTATATAGAGAAAACAAAATGAAGGAAAATCCAAATATTTTAGAGCAAAGAGATAGATGCTCAATAGATGAAGTTTTTACCATGTATGAATTAAATCAGGCACTTGTGGGAGAGAGAAACACTTCTCCTGGTAAAGATGAAATATGTAATTAAATAATTAGGTATCTATCAGATAAGTCAAAGAATATTTTATTATATCTTTATAATAGAGTGTGGAAGTTAGGACAACTCCCTTCCTCTTGGAAACATGGCATAATTATTCCA